TGAAAGTTGCTAAGCATTTTTGTCAATTATCTGTCGACGGCGAAATACAATATTTAATTTGCTTTTTTTCCAGCACACTTTTGTACTGACCAGTTTGATATGTTCTTGATTTGTTGCTGTTTTGAGACGTTAGTTGATCTGCTATCAAAGACTGGGCTTCTACGGTGCAAAGGAGGAGAAGAAGACGTTGAAAACGGATGGAAAAAAGGAAGAAAAAAAACAAGGATTCTGAAAAAAATTACATACTTAATGAATATTGAACATAATTTGCTTTCTTAACTAATTTTCTGGAAATTATCATGTTGGCTTGTTTCTTTACCTCTCCCCTGCTCAATTTTCTTCTCTCGGCACCTCCTCGATCCACTCTTCGCATTAACTGTTCTCGTTCTATTCTCAATGAGGAAATAAAAGAATCATGTCTTTATGGCTTGCTGAATTGATTGGCAGCGTAAACTCATTGTTTGCAAAGTTCTTGCAACTTTCTTTTTCTTTAAGCTTTATTAATGCTACATTTTTCAAAAAATAAAAATTTGTCGGGATCTAATGTTCTAAGTAAGTAAAAATGTTTATTTTTTTAAAAAACTCTTAAAAAAACGATAAAAAGTAAAACTAGATTTATGGTGCTACTAAGTTTGCTTATTGAGTGATTGGATCAGTTGTTAATCGTCCGTGTTTTGCGGAAGCATATTTGCTATTCGTTTAGCTGCTCGACTGTCTGCTTAAGTTTAATTATTCAAGACTAATATTGTAATAGTTTTGATACAATAAAAAACTGAAAAAGATACATTTACATTTATACATTTATAAAATTATTATATATGTATAATACCATAGATCATTCGACGTCACTTACCGTATTCCAGTGAACAATCAGTCCATCAGTTTATGAATTTATGTACTCATAAATATTGCAGATGAATGTATGGTTATTCCTAAAATATAAGCTGTACAGATTAACAGCTGAAGATGTGCAAAATATAAAAAAAAAAGAATGAAGAAATTAAACTTTGCACAAAAGACTTCCAATATTCATCTTTTCTCATGTTCCAGTTTTCATTAATTTCTTCTTCTTCTTCTCATTCTTATCTTCTTCATTCTTATTTTTTTCTTCGCTTTGTTTTTAAGAAAAAACCTTAATAACTTTCTGTACAAAGACGTGCAGCAAAAATACGTAGTTATTAATTAAAAAGAATATTGCAACAAATACTAAAACAGACAATAATAATAACTATTGTAATATATCACTGTATCCTTTTTGCCCACTTGTTCATCTAAGTTCAAGTAGAATATTATACATATTTAATAATAGAACGATATATACACACAAAAAGGATAGATTGTACTTGTTTTTTGGTGATATACTTGTTTATGTAGTCAAAAAAAAAAAGAAAAAGTTGTTCAGCTACTTTTTGGGATAACTTTGTCTGGCGACAGACAAATAGTATTTGTTTGCTTTGCCACACTTCAACCTTTTTTTCAATCGGACAAGTAAATGAAAAAAAGATTAACATTGTTTCTGATGATAACGTTATTGTGCTTAGTAGAAATATTGATGGTGATTACGATGAGGAGTGAAAAGACAACAAGGGAAAGGATAACACCTGTGATGTGAATAATAATTGAGACGATGACGAGAATGACGTTATTGTTTTTAATAGCGATAGTAATATTGTTATTGAATAGTTACAGTGATGGCTATTGTGAAGATAATCGTGATGAGATGTAGTTCTTTTTTTATTGGGTTCAAGGAAACAACTAGTGAAATGAGGTTGCAGGATGACACTTTA